GATATTTATGCACAACTTGATCAGGGGTGACATAGACAGCCCTGATCTGTTGAGCCGCATAAACTTCACGATTCCTATTAGCCTGACTAGAAATTTTATACCGTTGTTCCTTCCATTTTGTAGATCGAATTATTCCTTGCATGAACCGTTTAGGGTCTTATGCTCGGATTATAATTCCCTCTACCATATTATATCCACCACTAATTCTCTTCCTCTTATTAAATCACTAATCGTTACACACCTTTCTAGTAATTAGTAACTTTAGTGGTATGTTATTTTGAATGCATGCCTAGTTCTCTCAGTAACTTTAATGCTAATTATCCTCGAATATTAGTCTAACAGCTATCTTTCCTGCATCCTCGCGTTACAGTGCAGTAATTGCATCGCCTCTTGCAAGATGCAGTCATTGCATGTCAACGGCTAGAACACTAGCACCTACCTGGAAGTACAGCATTCAGGTGTTTGGGATTGCCGCCAAAACTAAACTTGCGAGGATCATGACGTTCCAGAGTAAATTTCTGTGTAGGATCTCCGGAGCTGAGTGGTATATCCGTAACCGGGACATTGCCAAGGACCTTAACGTACCACTCGTTGGTGATGTTATCAACAATCAAGAACCATATTTGTAAGCTCAGAAGCCACCCTAATATACTGGCGAGGCGTCTTCCGAGAACAAGATACCGGCGTAGTCTGGCCAGAATACACCCAGTCGACCTGCCCAACAGGATGATCTAAGAGGACCTCTACCCTAGAAACCTGAACAGATAATTAAACCAAATAATATCCCCCTCCGAATTCTTCAACCTTGATAAAACACATTTTTTATTTTTATTTTTTAAATCATCATAATTTTTTCTGACTGTTGTATAAGTTGCTCCAGGAGTAAAAGCAAACAACAAATTCTATTATTATTATTATTTTATAATCAAATAAAAGCGAAGGACCCAAGCAACAACAACGAAGGAAGACCCAACAGGAAGATAAGATCCCATCTTAAACGACGTACAATTAAGAGCAATACAAAATTTATTTTTCTACCTCTTCATCCACGCCTTATTCTTGAACCACGATACTCTCGTCATACATCACTACTGTCAGGTCATTCGTGCTGTATGATATAAGGTAAGCATTGGTTTCCTGTCGCACGAGTATGATGGTTCTGGTCTTTCTTACGTTGTTTAGCCGATTGAATTGTAGTTGGAGGACTTTAGTCCGGCCACTGCATTGCATGAAGCAATCCATTACTCCTGGACCAAAGCTTTCTCGACGGGCCCTTGCTCCATGGCTATGAGCAGCTCTGACGACGCTAGTTTATGTAGTTTCTTATTGCAGTTGAGCTGTAGTATCGTCAGTGTCATGGGTAGCTACTAACGACGGGTTGACTACTATCGTCATGTCACCGTCATCCTCTTTCTCTGAATCTTCCATGGCAAGACCCAGAGCGGCCTTCATGATGGTGTTAAGACCAAGGTCTTTTTTCACCTCGGCTGTCTGTAGAGTATGCGCTATCTTTATCATCTGGAGTTTATTATATTCCCGTATTTAGGCTGTAGCAGGTCCTTCTCCTTCTTGCTGATCTTATGGATCACATGCTGGTCGCCCTCGTTGGGTAGTGGTCTACCATCATGCAACACATTATAGACTGGTCCTTACAGTCGGGTTCTTTGCAGCAGCTTTAGTGTTCGCTCTCCTTGGACTGCAAAGGTGAAGGATGATACCATTTTTTATACCCGATACTCAAAATGAGTATTGGGGTATATTAGATTTGTGGTGAAAATGGATGTGTGTAACGTCCAGAAGGAATCGTTTCCGACCCCATAAAGTATATATATTCTTGATCAGCATCAAGAATCGCAGAATCGTGGAGAATGACCATATATTTTATATGCCTAGATCTCAGAGACTATAAAAGCTAGAGAAACCAAATTTAGTATCGACACTTCCAATATATCGGACCGAGACGAGTTTGTTTCAAAATTTTGCCACACCCCCTTCCGCCCCCGAAAAGGACGAAAATCTGGGGATATTCACAAATCTCAGAGACTATTAACGCTAGAGTAACCAAATTTGGTATCCGCACTGCTGTTAGATCTCAAAAGTACCGAAATCTGTTGCATCCACAATATTGAGGATACGCAGAATCATAGATAATGACCATATCTATCCGGCTGCTAAATCTGGATCAAATCGGATCATTTTTATAGCTAATAGGAACAAATCGATTTGCAGTGGCTACGCAGCGCCCTACGTCACGCTCAGACTGATTTTCTGTCTCTCTCGGCGTCTGCCGCAGGAGAGCCATACTGACTAAGTATCGGGTATAAATGTAGAGTTGCGGTGTCCGCAGCAACTCACAACTTTCCCCCTCGTTTTATTCTTGGACGTTGACATGCAATGACTGCATCTTTCAAGAGGCGAAGCAGTTACTGCACCGTCAAGTGGCCCGTGTGAAACCAGCAGAAGGCTGTTACGCGCGGATCCTAGGCAAAACGCAGCCCTCCTCCCGCCCAACCGACCGAGGGGCGCTGCCGCATGACGCACGGCGCGTAGCCGAACCGAACGCGAACATGCAAGAAAGATAGCTGTTAGACTAACATTCGAGGAAAATTAGCACTAAACTTACTCAGAAACTAAGCATGCAATCAAAATACAAATACCACTACAATTACTAATTTCTAGAAAGGTGTGTAAGGATTAGTAATTTAATAAGAGGAAGAGAATTAGTGGTGGATATAATATGGTAGAGGGAATTATAATCCGAGCATAAGACCCTAAACGGTTCATGCAAGGAATAATTCGATCTACAAAATGGAAGGAACAACGGTATAAAATTTCTAGTCAGGCTAATAGGAATCGTGAAGTTTATGCGGCTCAACAGATCAGGGCTGTCTATGTCACCCCTGATCAAGTTGTGCATAAATATCACACCAAGCATTTTTCTACGGTTAACTAAGGATGGGAGATTTACTAATAGTAGTCTACTAGAGTAAGATGTTAGTAAAAAGATTTTCTGTACTGAATCTATAAGGTCCTGGTGTACTTTGTACTGAGGGCACCATACACAGGAGCCGTATTCTAAAATCGGACGAACTAACGTAGTATAGAGAGTCTATGTTATATAGGTGTCGTCAAATTCTTTTGACCACCTCTTTATAAACCCAAGCACGCCCATGGCCTTATTTACCATGGTAGAAATGTGTTCGGAAACTTTAACTTTGCGTCTAATAAGACACCAAGATCATTCACCAGGGTAATTCTCTCAAGAGAATCGCCACATAGGGTATAGGTAGCCAACAAGGGGCTAGAACGGTGAAATGTCAAAACTTTGCATTTCGAAGCATTAGGGTGTAACAAGTTAGCACAACACCATGACTGAAAGATCGGATTGCAAGCGAGAATGAAATGAAATGTCCTTATGCTGGACACAGTGTTTAACATCATCCCCATACATAAGTACTCGAGAGTATGTTAAAACCGAAGGCAAGTCATTAATAAAGAATGTGAAGAGTAAGGGGCCCAGATGGCTGCCCTGTGGTACTCCCGAAGAAACCTTTACTGGTGAAGAGAGGAAGTTTTTGAAGAGGACTCTTAGAGACCTGGAACAAAGATAGCTAGAAATCCATCTCAGGAGGTTGGGCGGAAACCCTAAAGGGTCAAGTTTATGTGGCAGAAGGGAATGGTTTACAGAGTCGAATGCTTTACTGAAGTCGGTGTAAATAACATCCGTCTATAAGTTACCTTGAAAGCCATTAATAATGAAAGAGGTAAACTGTAACAAGTTCGTGGTGGTTGATCGCCGCCTTATAAATCCATGCTTAGTTGGTTTAGTCGAGATAAGCTCCCTGTCTACCACCTCCAGCTTGGCCCCATGCCACAGGGCTTCCAACTGGATCACCTTCTGCACCAGCCACTGCTGCGTTGTGTCGTCGTTACACTTAAGGATCACTTCAACCCGTTCAATCATCCGATGCCGTCGAAGGTGGGCATGGTAGCGTTGGAGTTGTCTTCCATTCGGGGGTAGAGAGATTCTGAGGGCTGCGTGTGAACTAGCTTCCACTAAGCTGCCGGCATCTTCCCATTCTCGTCGCTTCTATCGATCAGAGCCACAATCAGATGCCTCTTGGAAACTTCTGTCTGAACTTCCTCGTCGTCTTTGGCTGAAGGGTAGCGCCCTTGGGCCCGCGTTGCATCTTGTTCGCCGGAGTGTCTTTGGCAGCACTCTCGCTCGGGCTACTCTTGCCTTTTGCTGCCCAAGGCCCAGCCGACACTTTAGTGGAGAGTTCAGAATGAGGATTTTCGCCAGCCTCCCAACCCTATCTTTGTATAAAATAATATTATCTACATTCTTGCATCAGACACGCAACTTAAGCGAAATCACTCTTTTAGTAAGTACTAGAGATGTGTGCACATACATTATAATTTCCCGCAACTCAACAAAAAGCATTAGCATTAAATACCCAACACGTAAGTTTAAAATGCTTTATTTGCAGCTATGTAATATTCATAAATTAGTTTAATAATATTATAACAGGTATATAACAAATATGTAATTTCAAGGTGGGTTGTATTTTCGATTTTTCGTTTTTTAAACTCAGTTTCAATGCATCAATTATAAATCTCTTTATTGTTTAATTCTTAATTTAAATGTCATTTTATTTTCGCACTTCTTCGCAGTAGACGCTTGTTTCGGCAATGGTTGGCTAATTTTTTTTTATAGTTACTATTAAAAATGTTCAATTTTGTATTGTGTTAATGCATTCATTTTTCTAATCAAATAATTTCTTTAAACTATAGCCCTATCATACTTTATATTTTGTGATAAAACTATATTTAAAATTAATATGACCTTTACTTTTATATTCTTTTATTGTAAAAGAAACAACAATTCGCTTTATGTAACTTGTAACAATGTCGTTTTACGAGTTTATTAGATTATTTTAATCTAATATATCTAACAATTCAATTGTATTATATACATTTTAATATATTTCTTTTGGTTTTTGTGGGTTGTCTATTTCGGCATTAAAAATTGATTACATTACATTAAACACGCATCGCCGATAAAATAAATCTGATATATTTATTATTATTGCTACCAATAATTTATTTAGCTAATCAAGCTAAGACAAATTACTACTATACCCCTTTGTTCAACAAAAAATTCAGTTCCAATGGATTTTAACCGCGCTTTTTTTCATGAAATCGAAAATGTATAGAAATTTAAAGACAATTCAACGAACCTTGACATCTATAAACAATAATCAGAAGCCAGACGGGTATGTGTAAGTACATGCACGTACAAATACAAAAACTCGTACATATATCTAGCTAGGTAGACAAGTAATTATAAAACTAAGTATTGCTCAGAGAGGTTTGTGAGGCTTTAAAACTTCAGAGCAATAAGTGAATTTAGATTTATTTGCAGTATCCTTATTCGTTCACTCGGTATTAACTTTCAAATATCCAACCAATGTGCAATGCGTTTATACTTATGTATGCTTTGTGCAGACTGTATTAAATACTGCTAATTGTGTGCGTTTCCATATGGTATGATAATGGTAATGGTAGGTATAAATCCATGTACATATGTATGTGCATGCATACTCTGTGTTTATCATATGCTGAAATTGATAGTTAAATCTTAAATTTACTCAGGTTTTAAGCGATGCCATTGTACTACAGTTTGTCTAGGCTTTGAGATCATGTCCTGCCAATGTTTAGTTTCCGATGCACCAGAACCATTTTTTCCTATGAATAAGTACAACGTTAATGCGTAAAAACAAAAATGTATTAAAATTTTCTGCTGTTCTATATATTTTTCTTACCGGCTAATAGTATTCGTCCTATTAACTCATTTCGCCCAATGTTATCAAAATCCATCACCATAACATCCAAAGAGCATTCTCTTATTTTTTCCCATGGAACGTTGAAGCTGAATGATTCATTAAACACTGGATTTAATGTACATGTAAATATAGGCGTTTTTCTTTTCTCTACTCGCTTGTCTCCAAACTGAAGCCACACCTTCACATATGGATCTAGAGTTAATTCAAAATAATTGGTTAACGAAAATATCAAAGGTGGGGGATATAATTATAATAAAAAGTTGATCTCTGCTAACAAATATTTTTATTTTATTTTTAAACTTGGCGCGGGAAGATTTCTTACCAGATTTTCCGTTGATGTCCTTTGCTTTAAGATTCCTCGCTTTGATTAATGTTAACGTCAAAATAGAGTTCGAGGGGTGATAGCAAAGCGAAGACAGAAGTTCCCCACATTTATCCTTTGCTGGTGGTTTCAATGCTTTCCAAAACGACTGCTTACCAGCAAAATCAACCTAAGAGGACAAAGGTACGAGCATGTGGAGCCTTAATCAGTAACACGACCAATAAATTAAAATCTTCAAAACAGTCTGCCCACGCAATATACCCAACCACCTATATTAAACGTTCTATACACATTTTTTAGAAATATTATTTTAAGATATGTTTACCTGACATAAAGGAAGAAATACTTCTCCTATAGAGTCATCCCGTGAGAACCGGTCGTAATCAAAAACATGTAAGTGTAATACCTATACCAAGGGTGATGATATGTTATGATGATAAATTATTTAAAATTTCTTTTTAAAGATCATGTAAAGAAAGATAATAGAAAGCATTCTCACACGTGACTGAAGTTTTTGTATCGGAAATCCTTCAAAATAAAATGTTTCGTTCCATCGCGGATTTAAAGTTCTTCGTTTTATTTTAGTTTCCAATCTGTGTTTCTTGTCTGGTAGCAAGGTTACACGAACATATGGGTCCGAAGTCCCACTTAAATCTTTAGCTGGTAGTTCTTTTCCTTGAAGAACTTTTAAAATTAATGTTGTATTTTGAAAATCATATTCCAAGGAGAAATGTATTTGCCCAACATTTTCACTAGAATCCGTGCTGTCCAGATACATGTCTGTCATGGAGATACTTTTATTCTAAGATGGAGAGAAGCGTACATTTAACAACTGAGAAACCGGTTTTTTCACCTTTGTTCTGTTTTTTGTTCGAAAATTAATATATAATTACTTAAAAATAAAAGCGTATTAAATTTTAAAAAGAGGATATGAGAGGAAGTCTGACTTATTCTTACCGCGGAATCTTTGGAGGTACCATCATTTGTATTTCCTGTAGAAGCATTTTGTGCTTTAGCTTGTGCAGGTGCCGAGCCACTAAAAGGTTTGAGTTTTAAATTAATTTGTGGAGATTATAATAGATATAATAGATTTATTAGTACAATGAAGATAGAACAAAATACATACCCAATTAGGGGAGTTCTAAGGCTTAAGAATCCATTCAATTTCCGATTAATGTTATTTTGAAGAGGAGTTGTTATTGCTTGCGCCACCGGCACTTGTGGTTTGCTAGGCGGATTTCCGGAATCAATGTCCTGAGCAGCTCTGTACATTTAAAATTAAATATAGTATTTTTAATGAAATATTCCTTTCATTTGTTTCAACCACTTAAATCATTTGTTATTAGACATATTTAAACTATTGAAGCGACTATTCAAACATATAATACCATGAACGATGGCTAGTTGTGAATATTCTATATTCTTCAGTTAGCCTTTGTCGAATATCTGCATAAATAAAATAAAAAATAAAATAATGAGGTGATACGACTCACCTTAGACTGTAACTACTAGACTCTTCGTCTTCGTTGGGCTCAATAAACTGCAATTGCGATCTTTTGTGTCTCCACCACAAATACCCACCCGCCAGAAACAAAGCTATTGCAATGATTAGTCCCAATATAGCAAGGCATGCTATTAATATTATGCTCGCCATATCTGCAATCAGAAAAAAATCATAAATCTGATGTCCTTTTTTAAAATGAAAACATATGTTTTTCACTTGATAAATATGTACAAATATTTTCACATACATATGTACATATGTAGGTATGTAAGGTACCTACAAACTTCAATAGCAAAACAAAATGAATGAACCGAAATACGGTTATGCAAGCTTATGAAATGACAGTAACTAACTCCCCATTATTTAGATGTGCTAAAACATATATACTCATCAGAAAACATAATCGTATATTTTCATATACATATGTATATATTAAGCATTCATAAAATTTACTCTCAATTTATTGAGAATTATATGATTTTAATACAGACATGCATATGTATACCACGTATGGTCGGATGAGCGAATGGATGAACACTGTTAAAAATACAATTTTGTAAGATTGAAGCAATACTTAAAACTTGTGGTTTGATATTATTTTTCTTTACGAAGTCGGCTGGAATAAAGGCATTTTTTTTAAATAGAGTATAGATATTTCTGCTGGTTTTTTTATGTCAAACACTTTTTCACATTAGGGTTGACAACACCCGAAAGTCTCAAAAGCGAAGCTCCACGACCCATACAAATCAAGAGGCCACAAGGATATGTAAAACATATTTTCCATATACCGTGCATATATGCAGTATATGTATACATATGTACGCATGTACTTATGGACGTGTGTCTCCGTTAGTGTATTAAACCGTTCACCGAATTTGAACTTTCCTTTAACGTATACGGTATGTAAAGTAAAAACAAAGTTAATAACAATTCAATAAGTCTAGTTTACATATTTTTAATTTAAAGAAAATAACAAATTTTTAATACAATATGTTAGTAAATGTTGATAGCCAGCTACTTATGCCAATGGAAACAAATTGAATACATATTTTTTATTATAAGAGTCAGAGTGGAATAATATGCGCAAAAGCTCGTATACGAACTTCGTGCGCATGGTCGTTTGAAGAACTAAATTCAGATGAGACAGTGTAAAGATTCCTGGAAAATGTAATTGGTCGGACGCACACACACATATGAATACGCGTTATCTTTTTTGTCGAGTCGTATAAGAGTTTAAGGTACATACAGTGGGGAGCAAAAGTGAGTGAATGACTTTCCCTGCCCATAACAGCCAAACGAATAAAGCCAAGCAAACCAAATTTGTTCTTCAGTTGTCAAGTTTATGTTAATGCAATTAAGGTTCGTTTCGTTGTATAAAAAGCCGTTTACTTTTCGTTTCGTCAACGTAAATGTTTTTGTTTTGAAAACGAATAAATCTTGCGGAATGTTAAAACGGGAGCCCCAATTTAAGTGTATTCAAAAGTAAATCGGAAAACTTTTGTGAATGTGAAAAACGGAGCCTGGCTGAATATTAACATTTTGTGCTTAGACCCATATTAGATATTATTTTTGTAATACGGTTTAGAATGCTCTCTATCAAATTGCCAAAAAGATCTTTTAGAATACGATTTAATTCCGCATCTACACGTCTTCAGATATCACCTAAGTTGGATGGCGCTGATTCGTACCATAGGTTGACCCATTGATCATAGGTTGTGAATCGGATTAAGTTCGGTTAAAATTTGGATTAACCAGACATTCTCGAAAAATGTTTGCAATTTGGTTCGGATCCCTGTCTTATTAAAAAGATATTTAAATTCGGGATAACTACATTTCTCCGAAAAATTAAGAAGTTGGGCTTGCAGAAGTTTTAAGTAGTTTTGAACATAATACCATTAATTTTTTGTAGAGAACCAACGTCTACCATGTAAAGCATCTTCAAACCATAATATTTGAATATTTCATATTATTTCGTTTGGCTGTTGTGGGCGTAAGTCAGTGATTATGAATATGTACTCACTTTTCCCCACTGTATGTATATGCAAGTTATAAAAAGCTCTTTAGTAAAGAAGCGATACAATGATTTTTGGAGTGGGACGGAACACGATTCTCAGACCAGACTATTATTTAAATAATTGTATAAGGTAGCTAACATAAAATTAGTTACTCATAAAAATGAGTCCGCCTTGATTGAACAAACGTGATAATTATTGAAAAACTTTTTCATTCTGTCCGTGTCTTCAGATTTAAATTATCCCGCTATTCCCGAATCTCAAACCGCAAACAACGAATCCCTAAGTTAGTGCTTTGCTGTACCGTAGCAAAGTGTCACAATATAGCAATAAGTAAAGATTGACCACCAAGTTTTAAAAAACACCTTTTTGAAATTTAAGCAGCGGTAATATTTCTGTTCCGTGGTGTGCGAAAAATGGTTTCACACCTGTGGTGTCAAACTATAGGTGAGATCCACGCATGACAAAAATGCTCAAGTTAAGGTCGGAGTACTTGGTGGTAAATTAGTAAGTTAAGCAGACTGTTTCTTGGTTACAATTGTTAAATTTGTTTCTGTGAGCTGAAAGCCGATTAGAACCGGAGATATGTTGGTACAAAACGGATAAGTATCCGCCTATAAATAAGTATATCCCGGGTCAGGGAGCAATTCGTAGCCTAATTCATAGATTGTGTGCCGCCATCTAGCGGAAAGCTTTCTCATACCCAAGTGATCATTCAAAATTGAAACCACTGAGCCATGAAGTTGCCTAGTCTCCGATGCCAACACCATATTTTGAATTTTTTTAAACTTTTTCGGGTGTAGAGACCTGGGCATCCAGGACGTTCAGCCAGGACGTGCTAGTACAGCAACAACGAAATCCGTGACCACCGTGAAGGTGCACAGTTCCCATAGTACTTATCAAGCTTAGGCATGATTTGAATAATATTTTTTTCCGAATAAACTAGGCTGAATGAGCACACAGGAATTCACTTTTTTCCCTTATCTCTGCAAATTGCGTGGGATGTGTATCGTATCAATGGCTATCAACCCACAAAATAAATTACGCTGTTTCTTTAAAATTTGACAGGAGCCTTTTGACAGAAGCTCTGTTGCCCTATCATTTACAAGGCGGGAAATTAAAAAAGTCAAAAGCCGTAAACGTAGATATGTCTTTATTTTACACTTGCTTTTGATACTCTTAAAACATCGCAACTGGGAAAAATATGTATGTATATCTTTTAATTCACAGACATCTACTATGGTATACAATAAATTACAAATTACAAACTTTTATAGACGTGTAACTATTTTTTAAAATATATCTAACTGATTTGGTAACTGCCTTAAATGTAACAGAAGTTTCCCTTTTGCACCTGCTGGAAAATCTTGATTTCTCTCTCTTCCAGTGTGACTTGGTCGGGTGTTTTTGCACTCCAAGAGAGCAAACCATTTTTGCAAATCATCTCAACATCTGATTTGTGAACTTTTTTGTCTAAAAATTCTTATTTGTCTGTTCCGTTTGGTACGTTGCAGTAATGTGCGCAAAGTAAACGAATAGAGCTTGTCATCTTTTTGACAGGTGCGGATCGATCTATGTCCATATGTACATATGTTTAATCTTATTCATTCTTTATGTCCCGTGCTTATGAAAAAAATAAATTCTAGTGTTTTTTAATAAGAATTCGGTTAGTTAGAACTATAATTAATTCGAATTAAGAATTACAATTAGATTAGTAACTTTTCTCGTCTATTTTCATGAAGATTCAATTAAGAGTCGCATCCTAAGCCGTAAAGTAAATGTAATAGCAAATAACAAGTAACTAACCAACATCTCCCATTTTATGCATGGTATTTATTGGTATGGTATGGTGTGGTGTGTAATCATTACTTTAAAATCAGTATCAAATTGATACCAAAAATATCAATGTTTTACCCGAAATTTGGTTGTAAATTATTAAAAAAATGATTACAAATCACATAATAGAATTTTAGTTCAAAATTTTATTTAATAAGATGGTTATCTCTCATGACATTTCGACATTTCGATTTTAAAATATTTGCAATTTTATGTAAAATCGAATGGTATAGAGACACGGTTCATTACTAATCGTATGCATGGCACAGAGGATGGTATGGCCATTTCTTACAATTCGCAGTTCTTTTGTGGCATTTTTTGTGGCACAGGCGCACTACGAATTACAATGAGCTCTCTCGGATGCCTCGTTCTTGCGCTCCAAGTTCTCTCAGGCATTGGAGAATCCATTTTTAGAACGATTCCGTTTGTTTTCTAAGTAGGAGGTACTAGGCCCTCCCAAAACCCATTTCTTTGTTTGTTAGTTGAATACGAGAACAGAGTCCACGCAGTTACCCACTGGATTGTCAATTTTAAATTTAGTCTGAAGGTACATGCTTTGCATAACGAAACTCCTCTGACATGTTTCGGTTGTGTTGAAGAATTCGAAACACTTAAATACATACATATGTACATATGTATGTGTCTATAGTAAATACATACATATGTGTATGTTGTATATTTATCATGTGTCATGTGTATGGTACGTCTGGTGCATTCGGTGAATTACAAACATATGTAAATATATTATTGCTTTCCGTAATAAAAATAAAGAACAATATCCCTGTTAGCCATACACGAACATATAATGTGCTTGGTAACATGTGTTGTTAAAAATTTACTTATTTATATGTGTGTGTGAATATATTCCTATATTTATATACATATGTATATGGGTTTGGTGATTGTGTAATGTAGAATAGCCTCACAGGATTGTGTAATCTTTTGCAGGAAACATAAACTTAACGCAAATTCGCTATTATCCAGACAATGATGATATGTTGTGTTACCTATCATATAATTATCTAAAATTTACACAAATTATTAACCAGTGTATAAAAAACTTATTGTATTCGTAAAATACGTATATATTTATGTATATAAATATATGTATGTACATATTCATAAATTATCTATGTAGCCGCGTCCGTCATTTGAAAGATATCTGGCAGAATCTGAGCACTGAATATTTGTACATATTTAGTTCAACTGGAGTACCAAATCTTAATGATGCCAATCGGCTGTAAGACAAGTATTTGTGAAAAAATCCAATTTTTTTTAAAGTACTTTAAGTACGTACATACATACATATATGTTTGTTCACAGCTCATCCTAATTTGATTAAATCGGATACCACCACCATTGGAATAGATTGGAATATTGGATCTTCAATGGTATCTAAAGCTTTGAGAACCATAAGCTAGCATTCATTTTAATTTCTTGTGATTTATGTACAATTTTCAATTGAGAATTTCGTATAATTTATATTATAGGTACATATGGTCAATGGATTCCAAACAATAGACAAATTCGATGTACAAAAGACTGCTTAAGGTATGTTCATACCAGATACTTTAAGAAGCTGTATGATCGAGACGGACGTTTCTTCTTATTTGCAAACATCGTCGACAGGACAGGTAAAATTTTAAACACATTTTTCATAAATATTAGTCTGCGGTAGATATTATTTTTGGGTAAATGGCGAGGGTGAAGGAAAGTGTAATTGTCGGGATGAGCATATAACGAATTGGCGAATAATTGAGCATTAACCAAATACATAAATATACGTATATATGTAACTATCATTTTGATAAAATATTGGTTTCAATAATCAAACTTTACTAATTTTATCGTCAGGTATGAAAATTACTCTGGATGCTTAGGAAAAGAAATGCGCAAACCATATTCCCATCAAATATTAAACAAATTTAAATGTAATTAAAGTCTTAATAATACTTGGTATTCCAATTTATATCTTGATGTCTCTGTGTTAAATATCTGTATGTATACCATTATTTAAATTTAAATAAACACTGCACACATCAATTGCATCTTGTCATCTATCTGTCGTTACCATTCTGTGTACGTATGTACATTCAACTAAAAGTTATATTTACATATATATATACACATATTTATACATTACATATGTATGTACAATGCATATTTATACATATATGTATGTATGGATATGTATTTAACAACATAAATATTATTAATGACAATGATCCACTTTCAACTCATTCCACTTTTTTGGTGACATAGTTTTCACACGTTTGTTAAATTTCAGACAATTAATTTTTCTTAATTAGTGTTGTATACCCTTGCAGGTGTATTAAGATTATACCGCGGTAAATGTTAGCGATGAATAAAATGCAACAATAACGGTATGGTCCGACACGAGTCGACATATGTATACTTCTGTCCATCTGTCTGTTTCTGTGCATACTAAGTGCTTCTGCGTGCAGAATATGTACATATGTAGGTAGATACAATCGGATCAGAGCATTATATGATATATGTAAGCAGCTGCCATGCCACAATGGATCGAAGCCTACTCTATAGTCTAACCAAACTTCAGAACCTACTTTGGTTTATAATTGCAGCAAATCGGCCAAATTATAATTGCTGACAAGCCTTTGAGAAAAAACTGTTTGCTATTGAAGGGACTACAAACATACACGATCAATCTGCAAGAGTATACAAATCTTCGGTTTCCGAAGCTTTTCTTTATTATTTAAAGAGGAATTAGCTTTTTGTGCGCTTCAAAGGTAATTTAAATAAATATTTTATTTTCGAGTCATTTCTGGTTAGTAATGGCATCTCATCCGCATCTTATCCCCCTGAAAGAAATATTTACTTTTATTTCTTGGGGATGCTTGAGAAAATAACGTTTGCTGTTCACCACGTACATTTCTATAATATCCTTTAATACTATGTAATATGTACCATTGTATGTATACACGTAAAATATTATAAATGTTCTTTGATTGCGCTCCTAGTAAATTGTAATGATTACTATTATATAATCCAAAACAATGTTCCGTTTTTTGTTTCATTGACAAATTTATTCTTTTTAGGAGTATAACATAAACCTTTCGTTTGTACGTTATTCCAGTTGGTTTACCATTTACCCGTGTATCTACGCCTCTATATGTCTCTGTGTGTTTTTTTCTTAAGTCTAGTTTAGTTTCTGTTTTACAATCAAAACGAATTTATTAGATGCACTTGTAAAGCCTTTAATAAGCAAAAATATATGAAATAAATAATCATACTGAAATCGTTTATTTTTGTTTTAAATTTAGGATGAATTTCACCCCTTTATTGAGGCGCTTTTACCGTACGTCAAATCATTTTCATACTCTTGGTTTAACTTACAAGCCGCCAAACGAAAATATTATAAAAAACACGAAAAACGAATGTCTTTAGAAGAGGAAAGACATTGTAAGGACGAACTACAGGTACAAAAAACAAAATGTTAAAATGTTAAAATCTTACCTAAATGTTCTTTCGTATTATTTCTAGAATGAGAAAACGGAGGTCAAACAAAAATGGGCTTCCCGCCTTCTTGGGAAACTTAGAAAAGATATAACACAAGAAAGTCGGGAGGATTTTGTGCAATCAATAATAGGCAAACGTAAATCTATTTGTGTTCTATCAAATCCTGATCAAAAAGGCAAAATGCGACGCATAGACTGTTTACGACAAGCTGATAAAGTATGGCGACTTGACTTGGTCATGGTCATTCTTTTTAAAGCAATTCCCCTAGAAAGCACAGACGGAGAGCGGTTAGAAAAAAACCCAGAATGCTTGCATCCAGGACTTTGTGTCAATCCGTATCACATCAATGTCTCTGTCAGAGAGTTGGATTTGTATTTGGCTAACTTTATAAATACTCACAATTCGGTCAATCCAGCATTGTCAACAGCACAAGCAGTGGATTCAAGGTCTTCAAGCTTGACATTATACACACGCAATAATAATCCTTTGGAGAGAAAAGAAGATGGCGTTGATATAAAAAATGAAGGCGTGAGACACAATCCTTATAATGGAGTTGTTTGTAATGATATTATTTTAGCGACTGGAGTATTCTCATCGCAGGAACTCTGGACATTGTCGAAAGGTATTTTTATAAAATAAAACTAATTAATGCTGAGGCGATTCTAAAATGTATTTTCCAGATTCAATATTGGATGAAGCCAGTGACAATAACCTACACTCAAGCCTTATTAAGAGGGAAAACGTGGGGGCTATCTATGATTGCAACACATATCAAATGAATTCCGAATCTTCAATGCCTGGCTCCCAGAGTTTAGTCCAAGCTGCGGCAATTGTAGCGAATCCAATTCCTGGGGGTTATAGTAGTTAGTAAACTCTAAAAAAAAGCTAAAAATATTCCAAACCTTAACATTTACTTTATTTAGTTGACTTTGTAGATCAGAGGACTATGCATTTATCACAAAGTCCGTTACTAAACACAGAAGCGACCAATGGCGGGTCTACTGATGCCGGTAAAGTCGATCAAAGCAACTCGCCTCCGATTGTTTCTCGGCCGAGTCCTGCAGCTGAAAACTGCACCAGTAGCTTTTCCGTAATCCTTCGAGCAACAGAAAGTAATATCTCAAATGGAGAGTCAACAGCCAATTCGGACTCAGCCATCCCTTTACACCGCTACACGTCGCTTAACAGTAGACCAACACCTCAATTTCGCTCTCCAGAAGGTATACTTAGTACACAATAGCTAAATCTTTTTATTCATTTTATTTTACAAATTTTTAAATCTATATAGGTATTTCCCACCCGAATTGCTCCTCACTGCATTCGACTTCTATTAGCCCGGTTAATACGCTGTATTACCCGCAGCATAGCAACATAAGGCCTTCTACAATAGTTGACGAAGACCAATGTCACCGTGCTGTTGCTGACAAATATTCTACGGAATCCCATGACATTTCTGACTTTGTCACATACGTTTGTCAAGATGCTGGTCACTCAACAACAATATCAACAGGAACTATTGATCATGCGTTTCAACATGCACATCCACATACGCACGTTTCTCATAGCCATCCCCCCCATTTTCAAATTCACCAGCAACTGAGGAATTCGAAATTGGCTACTTCGCCATCGACTCATTATCATAGCACAATGCTACCGCCGATGTTGCCACCGATGGCACGACCAGTAGCAATTATACGAACTAGTGGAGACTTGGCAATGGTTCACTCACCTCCTTCACCCCCGGTTTCGACAAACCATTCTCCGAATGTTACTAATAATACCCTTTGCGTAACAAAAAATGGTTTGGAGCCAGAAAATAGTAGAAATACAAATAATATAGAGGGCAACAACAGTCCAATTAATACAGATACAAGTTCACATAGCGTTAACTGCACTACTCTTGTGACATCTACTTCACCCCAACCTCAACCCCAGGCACCGTTATCAACAAGTCCACACGCCTATCTTGAAAATGGACGATGTAAACTTTCACCAGTAGCTTCCAACTCTTTAAGTCGTATTACCACGCAAATGTATCCATCATCCAATGGAAGGGAATATTTTAACCACTTTCATTCGCAATCAACATCGGTAAGTATTTATTTATTTGTTTTATAAATTAACCAATGTATTTTAGTATATTTTGTGAATTCTTTTTAATGAATTTATGTGCGTGCGTGCGCATCACAATTTCCAGCTGCTGGGATACGCCGGTTCTATTTCCACAATGTCTGGTGTAATAAGTCCGACAAACTTGAGCCTATACTCTGCTCCAACTATGGCTGTAGCTCGTTCTAGTGCTAGGACTCGATGGAACGACGACGAGCTAAACTTAATTCCACACTCTGTATCTAGTACAAATATAGAAAATACACAAGTTATATTAATGGAAGATTGTAAGTAAACAATCAAAGATTTTCAAAAATACCAAGTTATACTTAAATGTTTATTTAATTTGTATTGTACATATGTATTTTCAGCTTCAAATCGTTATATCGATGAATACTCAGCTAACTCAAATCGTGACTATGTGTCATGATCTAACGCCAAAATCTCATAAATTGGACGCACACTCGTAAGGCTTGGGCATGCCAAAATATATATTTATTAAATACAAACATACAAAGACACACAAACAAAAAATAAATATTTAAACTAATCGATGAACCAAAAAATGAAATATTGATACGTCGATTTATCACTGGAGGAAGTGATAATATTTTGCCGGCAACCCAATTAACTAAGTAAAATTGTATTATTATTAACGGTGCTTCGATAATGAATAACTGAATACTGAAATTTAATCTTTTTACTGAGAGGTGTGCCTATGTTATTTGATTTTAAAGTTATTCTATATCTTACGATCAGATATGACCCTATTTTTATTCAAAAATGTATATTGACTATCATTTTCGCTTCTTATTTTTATATTCTAAGAAACGATAACAATCGATATGTTATAAAGTTATATATTTGAAATTATTTTTCTTATCTCAGTCCTTTATGAAAAATACATCTTATGACAATATAAGATCTAGTGACAGCAACAATAACACGGTAATTTACAAATGTGTAATATCGTTAATTACATGACTAGTCAAAAATAAAATGTACAAAAGGTACATGGAAAAAAAAATAATTTCAATAGATGGTAGTGCATGTGCCCACTTATTTTCTTGTTAGTGCTAAACAAATTCTCTTTAATATGATTTAAATTTATGGTTACAGTGCCCACTGGCCCAAGAAAGCTGATGTACCCCTCCAGCTACCTAACAATCTTAACCAAAACTGTGGTTTAAATGTATGTACAATATGTATGCATGTAATATTCAATATATTTTCACTCAAAATGGTCTATTTGGGTGAAAGTCGATTGACAAAACAGAGCCTACTTAGTATTAAATAATAACGTCTCGTGGCTTACCAAACAGAAAAGCGTGCATGTGTTTATGTGAATTCACGAAAACATGTGTACATACATACATATATTCATACATACATATGTATGTACATTTACAATAGTCAGTCCTAGAAAGTAGACAATATATTATTAATGTAATAGCGAAAAATGGCGTAATGAAGGATTTTTACACAGAGATATGTACATAGCGGCATGTTACGTATAAATCGGAGATAGGCGAGGCGTAGCAAAGAATAACGGATAACATTTTTTATATGCCTTGTTATTGTGTACATTGTATTACCTCTTTTAAAAAAGTAATATTAATATTATTTTATTATTTATTCATATGCTTACATACATACACATGTATCTAAAATACTAAGAAAATATGAAACTGGAAAGACGTATACAAACTAATGGATTACATTTTAAAACTTTAGTACAATAATAGTTGTAAGTTGACGGCAAAGGGCATGTGAAAAAAACGAAACAATATTTATAGTACGTTTAATAATTGGCTGTGAATACTATCTTATGCTAAAGCTGTTTGTAATTTAGGATAAGAAGCAAGTGCTAATTATTACCACGTATTCGATATTATTATAATATATATACATATATATACACATGTTTAATTCAAATAGACTGTATGCAAAAGAGACTTTTGCTAAGAGTTAAGAGTATATTTTGTTAAAATAAACAACATTCTTATATTTAGGATTATTACAATATATAACGGATAAAGTTATAGGCTATTATTTGCTGGAGTAATTTGTTCTTCGTTCATAGTCCAGATTACCCCGATTAGGGTTTATATCAAATTTTTTTATTTTTTTTGAAAATATTCATATATCTGAGCATTAAGTTTAGCTTTTTTTTCTAAAGCTGGATATCAACTGCTGCCGTTTGTATAGAGGTTTCTTTTTTTTTAATTCTATATCTTGGAGGCCATTGGATGGAAGATTGTTACATGTGACATTTTTTTCGAATTCTGCAGCCTTTGCACTCAATATTGCGCAACCAATATTCGATATGCTTGCTGGCAATCTGGGCTCTGATGCCCTGTTTCCAGCTAGTTCTTTATCTAAAAACACATAAATAAAAATCATTGAATATTAAGTTTTAAATTACTTTTACCTCTAATGGACTTTTTGCATTGTAACAATGACTGCTCTGGTGACGATATTTGAAGACTTGCGGAAAATACTTTTAAAGATTCGCTCTTTTGAGCGTCGTTATAAGAAAGATTGTGATCATTTCGCATCTCTTCTTCATTAACAGGAATTTCCAATTTTCGTTTTTCAGATTCGTTATCACAATGACTAACAGAGCCATACCTGTAATCCATACCGATGATCATTGCATTGAAAAATAAATAAAATTATTTTTACCCTTTCGTTTGTCTCGGATACTCGAAAACCTCATCTGCAGAACTTGTTGCGTCGCTGTTTTGAACTACTGACGACTCATCTGAATGATTCAGATGCCTTTTGAAAGAGTATGAAAGACAAAGTTTAATTTAAATCATCCTTTAATTACACTATGCAACAGAACAACTATTAAAACATTGTCATCAAACCTTGGAAGACTCGGGTCTCCAAAAATGTATGCTGAGATAGTTTTATTTGTTATGGTTAAGTCTTTTTTATATTAAATAAATTCTGTTTTTAGTGGTAAGCATTTTGAATTTTAAATTGCCTGAGTGTGTTAAACCAAAGGCTATACAATACCAAGATGTTGCATGAGCGACCAAAAAGCTGTTCTATGGCGGGTCCTAACACTAGGACCCAAAAGGCACGAGGGAGCGCGCGGGGTTTCAATTCCCTTTTCGCCTGTACTTCGTCTCTACCGCGACCCCGCTGCCCATCGGTTTCGTCTGTTCGGCAATGCCTTTACCAGCAACGAAATAATTCTGGACCCTCGAGCCTCAGCACCGTCGAAGCTGTGGTCGCGGATCGCCGATGTCTTTGGAGCGGCACAGTGGGACCTTTGGCCGTCTCAGCTTGCTAAATTAGTTAGTGAATATGGGTTCAATAAATATTTGCACACTGAAAAAATGTTAAACTTTGAGTGCTTATATCTCCTAAACTAAAACTATCTTGAAAATTCGATTGGAAAATTCTTTATTAGATGCGTACATTAAATTTATCTAAAGCACTCATACAATTTTTTTACTATTTCGTCTGAGTCCCCACTGTGCCGCGCCAAAGACATCAGCGATCACGCTGCCCTACGGTTTCGGCACGCAGACGATTCATATTTTGTTTTTGTATTCTTTCTCTCGAGACACACCGACTCGACGCTGACGAAGCCGAGTAGCATTTCGAAGGCGAAGGTAGCGTAAAAGAGAAGAAAAAGCATTATTTTTCAATTTTCGTTTGATGCTTCATGGTACGGGCGCGCGGGGCTATTACTTCAATTCTCTTTTACGCTATCTTCGCCTCCGAAATGCTACTCGGCTTCGTCAATGCCTCGGTCAGCGTCGAGTCGGTGTGTCTCGAGAGAAAGAATACAAAAACAAAATATGAATCGTCTGCGTGCCGAAACCGTAGGGCAGCGTGGTCGCTGATGTCTTTGGCGCGGCACAGTGGGGACTCAGGAGAAATAGTAAAAAAATTGTATGAGTGCTTTAGATAAATTTAATGTACGCATCTAATAGAGAATTTTCCAATCGAATTTTCAAATAGTTTTAGTTTAGAAGATATAAGCACTCAAAGTTTAACATTTTTTCAGTGTGCAAATATTTATTGAACTCATATTCACTAACTAATTTAGCAAGCTGAGACGGCCAAAGGTCCCTGTGCCGCTCCAAAGACATCGGCGATCCGCGACCACCGCCTCGACGGTGCTGAGGCTCGAGAGTCCAGAATTGCCGAACAGACGAAACCGATGGGCAGCGGGGTCGCGGTAGAGACGAAGTACAGGCGAAAAGAGAATTGAAACCCCGCGCGCTCCCTCGTGCCTTTTGGGTCCTAATGTTAGGACCCGCCATAGAACAGCTTTTTGGTCGCTCATGCAACATCTTGGTATTTTATAGTCTTTGGTTAAACCTTTTCAAAAGAACTTTTCTATGCTAAAAACTAATTAATGCATTTATTAATCTGGCTAAGCTAAAGTTATAAGCTTACCCGTTGGGAAATATTAAGCTTTCAAAAGCAAAATCGTTAAGTAGTAAATATATATTTTTATACCCGATACTCAAAATGAGTATTGGTATATTAGATTTGTGGTGAAAATGGATGTGTGTAACGTCCAGAAGGAAGCGTTTCCGACCACATAAAGTATATATATCCATTATCAGCATCAATAACCGAGTTGATTTAGCCATGCCTGTTTGTCTGTCTGCCGGTCCGTCCGTCTGTCCGTCTCTATGAGCGCCTAGTGTTCAGAGACTATAAGAGCTAGAGCAACGACATTTTGTATCAAGACTTCTGGGATATGTCACTGTTACAACTATATTTCAAAACTTCGACCCGCCCACTTCCGTCCCCACAAAGTGCGAAAATCTGTGGCATCCAAAATTTCAAAGATACAAAAAAACCAAAAACGCAGAATCTTCTAGACTTCCAGAATTTAGACCAGATCGTATAATTATTATAGCCCGAGTGATGAAAATAATTTCATTCTTTCTCATTCTGTCTCTCGCTAACACACGCGTTTCATGGTCGGCTTTGCCTATTGCAAAAAGTGAGCGCCTAGATCTCAGAGACTATAAGAGCTAGAGCAACAAAATTTGGCATCCACACTCCTGTGATATCGAACCTGCACAAGTTTATTTACAAAGATCGCCCCTCCCCCTTCCGCCCCCGGAAAGGACGAAAATGTTTGGCGTCCACAGATCTCAGATATTGAAGATCCGAGAAAATTAAAAATGCACAAAATGACCAGATCTACCAGATTGCCGAATCTGGATCAGATCGGATCATTTTTATAGCCAAAAGGAACAAATCAATTTGCAGTGGCCACGCAGCGGCCGGCGACACGTTCAGACACGTTTTCTGTCTCTCCCGCACGCACTCTTTGTCGCTCATTGTAGCCATACTGACTATGTACATATGTACATACATACATATGTATCGGGTATAAATGTAGAGTTGCGGTCGCAGCAGCAACTCACAACGTTCCCCCTCGTTTTTAATTGTAATTCATCGGGATATATGTACGTACACATATGTCGGTACATATATACGATTACAGTATACATTGGGTGAAATCCGCACCTCTATATGAACAAAATT